CCTCCATACCGATTTCTAGTCAGCGGTAAGCTTCACCAGAGACTAGCAATCTGCGCAGGACAGGATTACAGCGTACAAGTGTATGCGCAAGCACAGCAGCACTCCGTATTCCCTCACTCCTATAGTCCGATGGTACGGTAACCGACACTCCCGGAGAGAGATCAGGCACACGACCAACGGCTTTACGTGCTTCCCGAGGAATGAGGGTTAAGTCCGGCCTGCTACTGAGAACTACTGAACAGAAAAACTCAACAACTAATTTTGTTTTGGCCTAACCCGGGATTCGGACCCAGAATCTCATGGTCAGCAATCGCGTTTACAACCACTAGAACAATGGCTCTTGGCCAGTCGTTGTTAATGTCAGTTGGAGTGTACATGTGTTTGACAGTTAAAGTTATAGAGATCAATAAATTTAGATTAAAGTCACACCTCAGTGCAATTCTTTTAAGAAAATTTCAACAAAGTATTGCGAGTTAAACCTCAGCTACAAGTACGCAGCGGTTCAAGTTTACTGCTGCAATAGTAACTGCGACACAATACACGATAAAGGCTTTTGTTGAGAGGTCTGTTCACTTTATTACCGGATTATAGCGAAGTGGTATTCGCAGATTTCTGTGATTTTCATTCGTTTCAGGTCTAGAGTTATTTTTATGTTTTTTTTTTTAATGTAGAGGACATTAGGATTTTCGCTTTATGTAGAGGCGTTTAAAACTTATTCAACATTACCAGACAATGTACACAGGAAACTTTTAATAAGTAGGCTATAGAAATGTTAATTCCATGTGGACATCGAACCTGTGGCCCCCAGCGCCTACAGTAGTAATGAATTTAAAAGGAATACGTTCTGCTGAGCTACAAGAAATGCAGATGCGTTGTCAGACCTGAGGACTAAGATGGAGTGCCTCGTATCCAGTAAAAAGAGTCTCCGGTTCTCTACACTGACCATAAGAAACACAGCAACATTAATTTGCTATAAGTTGGTTTTTTATTATTTATTTATTTCTTTTTTAATTTTGATTAACAAAAAGTTGATGCCTTGCGGAGTTTCTTTCATTGTTTCTTCTTTAGACAGAGAAATCACATTTTGAAACGGTAATGAAATAAAAATAACATATTACCGCTTGATTTCTTTTTTAAATCCTTTAGTATGATTATCTGATTCCAAAGGAAGGAAGTGTCTTCACCTCCTTGTTTTCGATAATTCTTGCGTTCGAACTAAACGGCTCGCTTCGTATTTTGTTATTTGTTTATCAATAGAGGTAAATAATTTACCGGTCACTGTCTTTCCGTTTTATTTTAATTCAGGTGTCTTTAATGCGAGAGTGGATAACAGCTTATTTCCGAATGGGTTTTAAATAAAAACGTTAACCCCATACTGGGGTTTTCTTTTGTATCATGGAGACAGTTTACAAACATAAATTGTAGAAGGACAAACTTTCAGACCTGGAACAATAAGTTGCAGGCTACGCAAATACTTCTTTCGTGTGGGATTCGAACCCGTGACCCACGGTGCCGTAACTTATGGCTATGTCACTGCGCCAAGAAGTGTCAATTTCGAGATTATCTCAAGAACTGGATAATGTAAGAATTTTTCTTGCACCGCAAAGAACATGGTGAATCGACACATACGTAAAACTAAGATTAACAATTATTAGTGGTGCTGGCCTGGACCGAACTATGGAACTCACGTACAATGAAAGCCACTGCGCTACCGCGGCACATAAATCGAAATTATTATAAAGTAGTCAGCATAGCGGAAAAGGTAAGATATATGAGGTTCTCTACATGAAGAAAATATGGAGGTAACATTTGGCAAGATAAATCAACTGAGACACGTGTGTCGACAATAAAAGGTGATAAAGGGCCGATTGTCTTTGCGTCTGTCTTTTCCAATAAAACATTAATAATACAATATATGTATGAACAGCTTGTGAGAAGTTGGAATTCCTGTCATAGATGAACTAATTACATAAATAATAAAGTTTTTACGGAACCGTTTTTTTTTTTTATAAAATAAAGGGTACACAGTTCACCTGATAGTAAGTGGATGTTGTGGCCCATAGACATCTACATCTATCCTCGATTGAGAATCAATATCGATATTATTATATATAGGACTAAGATGGAATGCCTTGCTTCCAGTAAAAAGGGTCTCCGGTTCTCCACAGATGCTTTACGAAACACAACAAGCAGCATTGAGCTCCTATTTCACGCTGGTATTCTGTGATATAAGCTCAACATTAAATTTTAGTTAAAAATCTTATCGACTCTTCTTTAGTAGACAAACAAACAAAGCGATATTTCGCTGGCTTTCTTCCAACATCCAGCTTCTTTTTACTGTTTAAGTTTCCAATATACATATTTATCTCAAAGTCTTGAAAATAAGAGTTTCATTACAACATTGGAATTTGCTTAGGAAGCTTCGAACAAAATCACTTTGTTAACTTTGCTTCTTTTTAGCCGCCTTAAAAAGGAAGCTTCTCAATGCGACTGTATGTTCTTTTATGGTTATGTAGCCGAAGGGTAACCAATGGGACCCTATTACTAAGCCTACGCTATCGGTTCGTCCGTCCGTCTGTCTGTCAGCAGGCTGTATCTCATGATTAGTAATAGGTAGACAGTTGAAATTTTCACAAAATATGTATTTCTGTTGCCAATATAACAACAAATAATAAAAATAAAAATAAAATTAAAATTAAAAGGGGCTCCCCTACTAGAAATATGTATTACGATGGTACAGAACCCTTCATGCCGAGTCCGACTGTACTTGGCTGGTAATTTAAAATTAAAAAAAAGAAAGAAAAAGAAAGAATAGTTTCGCGATAATTTCGTCAATTGTGAACCGATTTTAATCCTTTTTTTAAATAAATTTAAACTTCAGTAAGGAGAAAGAAATGGATCCCAAATTGTGGGAAAATAAGAAATGTAGTTTTCAATAAAACTATTAAGACGGTATTGTAGAACTTAGGTGCTGCAGGATCGTGCTGGAGGTTGAAATGAACTTGCGAAATAATGGTTGTACTCAATTTAATAATAAAAGCGAATTTACAAAGGCTGCACGCGACAAAATATGGGCGTGCGCATGGACTCACATATAGTGGCAGACTGACGGGGTTCTCACCGACGAGCACGTCAGAGGCTCCACGTCTTTTAAAACAAATTTATAACTAAAATAGGTATAGGTAAGTACAATCGATACACAGTAAATTTAATGCCTAACATAATTTTAATTACAAATGAGCGCGTCGCTAACATTCTCCACCCCAGTGCTGTCACAGCACTCATGTCATTCAGTGATGTAGGAGCGACGCGTGCCGCGGATCTACGAAACGTCCTCGAGCCAACTTTCACCTCCACTAACCTGATACGACCATCCTTCCCGGGAAACACCTCTGTAATGAGTCCCTTTGGCCACGCATTGCGTGGAGAGTTCTGGTCCACAACTAAGACGAGGTCGCCAACTTGTAGCGGCTTCTGCTCCTCTTACCATTTTCTCCTGAGTAAAGTTTCAGGTAAAATCTCCTTCACCTACCTGTGCCAGAACATGTCCGCCAATCGCTGACTTATACGCCAATGCCTGCGGAGATACAAGTCGGAACTGTCAAACGCCCCTATCACAGGCAAGTTTGATGATGTACCTCAAGAAAATGGTTTGTGGTGAGGGTTTCCACTCTATCTGGTGCGACCGAAACAAGCATTAAAGGACGACTGTTAACTATATTTTCAACTTCAGTTAGTAGTGTGCATAACACCTCGTCTCTCGGTGCCCGTTCAGTTAAGACAGTTTTAAGCGATGTCTTAACGCTGCGTACCATCCGCTCCCACGCCCCACCCCAATGGGGACTGGCGGGGGGGATGAAAGTCCAATCCATCCCATTGTTGACACCTACGCTACGTAGGTATTCCTGGTCATGGTCCTGCATAGTCCGTTGGAGTTCCTTGTCTGTGCCTCTGAAATTGCTACCATTGTCAGAGTACAAGTGACGCGGCCAGCCACGCCTTGCTGCCATCCGACACAGTGCCATGATTAGAGAATCTATCGTAAGGGAGATAATGGTCTCAATGTGGATTGCACGCAACGTTAAGTACGTGAAAAGGACACCGTACCTTTTTTTCCTGCGTCTACCTGCTATGACCTCAATAGGTCCAAATATATCCAAACCGCAATACGTAAAAAGTCGCTGATGATGAGCCACACGAGCCCGAGGTAAATCACCCATGCGAGCTACTTGCGGCTTACACTTATTAATTCGGCACACCATACACTGCGACACCACAGTCCTTACGGTAGGTCTGAGTTTTATTAACCAGTATTTTTCCCTTAGTTGATTCACTACTGTTTCTTGATTACCATAAGCCGCCTTTATGTGGTAGTGTCGAGCAATAAGTCTAGCTACATGGTGTCGCCCGTCCAAGATTATAGGCCTCTTTACCTCCACAGTGACATTTGCAGCTGCATCGATACGACCGCCCACACGAAGCAAGCCATGCTCATTCAAGAACGGAGAGAGAGTGAGTAGCCGACTATTTTTTGGTAAGGCCTTACCTTTTCGTATTGATACAAAATCCTCCGCAAATGCCTCTGCCTGTGCGTGTCTCAATAGCAGTCGCTCTGCACGCTCCATCATCTCTACATTGTAACCATTGACAGGTATACCTCGTAATTTGTCAACAAATTTTAAAACGGCGGCTGTTGCTCTCAGTAGGCGCAGCCAAGAAGAAAACCGTACCGGATCCGGTACCGGTGAACAAGCGAGGATTACCTGAACAACGGCTGTAAGCTCCGCACACACTTCGTTGAGGTCCGGCTGGATTGCATCCTTTGGCCACGCCGCATCATCGAGATATAGGAAAGCTGGACCAGTGAGCCACTCAGAGTTCAAATTAGGCTCAAAGGTTTCCCTTGTAGCCAAATCAGCTGCGTTAAGCTTTGAAGGAACATATCTCCATTTTTCGACGTATTAGGTTTTCTTGGTCCCTTTACAATTCAGGGTAAGATCATGCTTCAAGACACCTGGCGTTTAAATATTGAATGGGACGAATATGTTCCTGACGGTATTTACACTAAGTGGAAGAAATTGATTGACCTACTTAAAGTAATAGATAATATTCGCATTCCTAGGTGCCACGCGATGATTGCATGTTATCAGAACAGGATAGCGTGCGCAAGCGGGATGGAAGTCCCCTCTCCCGTGCCAAAAGCTACGCCGCCACCCGCGCCTCTCGACTCGGCCACTCCGCTCGCATCTTCCGCTGCTACGCAGTATTCTACTACGAGCTACGAAACCGTAGCTGTCAATAGCAGTGCTACAAATACGAACAGGTGAGCCAGGATATGCAAACCTACATTTACACGTATTTAGCGACGCATCTACAAAGGCAATATGTTCGGTAGCATATTAGCGCTGGGAAGCGATGGGCAAAATCCATGTTCAAACCAACGTAGTGATGTCTCGGTAATTGCGAGGGTGAAAACCGGCAGCGATCACCGAATATTGAGGGGCACACTGAACCTAAACACACATGTGAACCGCTGTATTTAATATAGACACGGTGTCGTCGAGTGGCGGCGGCACTGCGCTGGGCAGCGGGCCGACCACGTGTTCGACGCTTGATGCCGATACTTGCCGATTCGACGCGCCCGTATAATTTTCTTTCTCGGGGGCTTGCTGTTCGATTGGGGGTTCTTTGTGGGTACTTTGGTGGGCCACCCATTCTTCTAGCTCGCTTCGAGGAGGCTCGTTTCCATCGATTTGTGAACTGTATCCTTGATATTCTTCCTCGTCTCTGAGTGCTTCCAATTGAGCGTTCAGGTTCGGATCGATGAGATCCATTTGAATGTTTGCCTTCTGCTGAGCAGCTTCTAGCAGTAACTGCTCTTTCTTCGCTTCCTTAGATTTTTGAGATATTATACTCGTAAGTAAGTTGTTTGGTTTTGCCATGTGCGGTAGCGGTTCTGATTTTATGCTACTACCCGGTACATCGGAAAATAACCGTTGGGGCACTTTGGTGTGCTCCTTTGAAACAACAGTTGCATCTTGAGCATTATCTGCAATTTCCTTTTGTTCCAGCAAATCACGATGTTCCTGCAGCTTTTTTGCTCGCCGCCCTCTTACACCTGGAGTCCGGAACATTAGATCCGGCTCGAAGTACCACTTTGTAGAACTTAGGTGCTGCAGGATCGTGCTGGAGGTGTATAATGGTTGTACTCAATTTAATAATAAAAGCGAATTTACAAATGGCTGCGCGCGACAAAATATGGGCGTGCGCATCGACTCACATATAGTGGCAGACTGACGGGGTTCTCACCGACGAGCAGGTCAGAGGCTCCGCGTCCTTTAAAACAAATTCATAACTAAAATAGGTATAGGTAAGTACAATCGATACACAGTAAATTTAATGCCTAACATAATTTTAATTACAAATGAGCGCGTCGCTAACAGGTATTCTAGTTCTTTCTTTGTATAAAGCTGAAGTGACAAACAAAATATTTAAATATAATTGTAACTCTCATTATTTTATTTATTTTTATTTATTTTCATAAGCACACTTACAGTATACATATTAAACATTAACACAAGATTATATAAAAAGTAACACGCTCACTGATATATCAATAACAAGTGTACATAACATTTACCAACAAAAAATACATGTAAACATTGGGAATGAACAAAAAAGGACAAAAGAAAACACACTTGTTATTGTACATCCATATATTCATATATACATACACATATACATACATATATATATACATATATATATATATACATACATACTCATATACATACATACATACATAAATACACACACACATACATTAACATACATACATACATACACACGCGCATATACATTTTTCCTTTCTCTCAATGTAAATGCGGCCTCACCGATAGATGATCGGTGAGTTTTTTTTTAAAGACAGCATAAGAGTAATGGAATTATACTGGCTCTTTGTACTCTTCACACTGGAACACAGCTGTGCTAGCTCTGCTATTTGGTGGCAGAAATAGGTAAGAGGATGGTAACCTAACCACACGGACTCCTTTGTAGAACAGGACCACCTGATAATAACACACTTATTCCCTAATAATGCGACAATAATCAAGGCTCCACTTGAACGTAATGAAATAAAAGTAATTATTAAATTCGTTATATAGAATATGCACAGACTTTCTCCACTACAAGTGGACTGGCAATAAATGAAATTAATATTAATTAGAGCAGAAACGTATTTCATTTATAAAGGAACGGCCAGAGTATTAAATTGAAATATTCCATTTCATGGTTCATAATGTTTTAAGCCTTTTTAAATTATCTAGATTCACTTTAAAGTTTAGACACAACAAAAAGCTGCTGCCTTAATTTTTTGTTCTTACGGTTGTTGAAAGCATAAGTTGGCTCTACCGGGAAAGGACAACGCTATCACAAAATACCAGTGTAGAATAGCTGCTTAATGCTGCTGTGTATCGTATGGTGAGTGTAGAGAACTGAAGACCCCTATTACCAGAAACGAGGCCATTCATATTAGAACTTAAAGATGACAACGCATTTGCATTTTGATTCTTAATTGAGGTTAGATGTAGAGGTCTATGGGTCACAGCATCCAGTAACAATCAGGTGGACTGTGTGCTCGTTTGTCACACTTATTATAAAAAAATATTTCGTCGCGTGGATGTCGTCAGAGTCAACAAAAAGAAACTGGATCCAGGAGATGGATAGTAGCATCTTTCACAAAACAATTCAAAATAATAAAAAACTGCGGTTATCCTGTCTGTTAAGCGAGCCAAATATGGCATTAATCCGCCTTGTATGGTAATCTGTGGCGGGGATCTTTGTTCACCAGTGGACTTTAATAGGATGTGATGATGATGATATAAAATAGTTTTCTAAATATTTTAGTACCTCTTACGTTGGTTGATTCAAAAAAAAAACTTTTAGGGTTTTGTATCTCAAAAGGAAAATCGAATCTTTTAAAGAATCACTTTGTCCTTCATGATTTCTTGTGCACGAGAACATTACATATTTAAATGTAACTAGTCTTTATGGATTTTATCGCGTATATTATAGTATTTTATATTCCCGACGCCCCCTAGAGGTAACAAGTCATTCAAGTCATTTCCAGTCTACGTACCCTTGGAGGTGTAAAAAATTCAAGCTTCTAAATCAACGCATCCAAAAGACACGGCCTTTTGTAGCTTGCAGACTCATTCATCGAAACCTATAGGTTATTTTTCGCTGACCTAGAATCATGAAATTTAAGAAGAAGCAAGTTCTTATAGCACCTGTAAAGATGAAAAATTTCAAATTGTTAAAATAATGAATATTTTTTTGTGATCTATAAATATTTTATGATTGTGAAATTCCATTTGCAGTTAAGTATTGACTGTAGTGAAGTCCGATGCATGGGAGATAATTGTTTCAACTTTAAAGTTAAGTTTAATTTGTTTTTCAATCCGACAAAACTTTTCATTGCAGCAATATCCGCTGCGTATACTTATGTTTCCTGGGATAGATGAAGTATTTACATAACTAACAATTTTTTATGGAAACTCTTTTTTTTAGAATAAATATAACAGACGAGTACACAGTCCACCTGATGGTAAGTGGATGCTTTGGCCCATCATATTCATTTCTCCTCTATTAAGAATCAAAAATCAGATCGTTGTCACCCCTGAGGACTAAGATGGAATGTTTCGTTTCCAGTAAAAAAGTCTCCGGTACTCTACACTCACCATACGAAACACAGCAGAATTAAGCTGCTATTTTACGCTGGTGTTCTGTGAAAATGTGGTCCCACCCCGGGCGAGTCGACCCTTTAATGTGATGTTTAAATATTTAATTAAACGAAAACGGAATAAAAAGGGTTATTATAATATAAATGAATTTCCTCCGGATCAGTAGTACCAATGGGCGTTCCTCAGGGCTCGATTCTTGGCCCATTCCTGTTCTTAATCTATATTAATGACTTACCTTATCTTGTAGGGGACAATCACGATATAGTATTATTTGCTGACGATACCTCTTTAATTTTCAAACTGAAACGGCAGTCAATTAAATATGACGATGTAAATAATGCTCTATCGAAACTAGTACATTGGTTTAACGCCAACAATTTGCTCTTAAACGGCAATAAGACAAAATGAATTAAATTTACAATACCTAATGTAAAACATTCGAAAACCAATGTGCTCTTAAATGGGGTGGAGTTGAGTCTTGTGGATACCACTGTTTTTCTCGGTATTACTATTGACGCAAAACTTCAATGGGGCCCCCATATATCTAAATTAGCAAGCAGACTTAGTTCTGCAGCATATGCTGTAAGAAAGATTAGAATTCTCACAGATGTTGAGACAGCTAGGTTAGTGTATTTTAGTTACTTTCGTAGCGTAATGTCTTATGGAATTTTGCTATGGGGTAATGCGACTGATATTGAAGCTATATTTGTTTTGCAAAAGAGAGCCGTGCGGGCGATTCATAATCTAAATTGTAAAGAGTCCCTTAGAGAATAATTTAAAGAAATAAACATATTAACTTTGGCATCGCAATATATTTATGAAAATGTAATCTATGTACATAAAAACATAAATAGCTTTAATAAGAATAAGGATGTTCATACCTTAAACAATAGGAACAAACATAAGCTTGTAATGCCACTTACAAGACTCCGCAGAATTAGTAATTCATTTATGGGGCAATGTATACGCTTTTACAACAGAATCCCAGAACATGTTCAAAGTTTGTCAATAAACAAGTTTAAAAGTTTTATTAAAGAAAAACTGTACAAAAAGGGTTATTATAATATCAAGGAATACATGAATGAAAATAACCCCTGGGAATAAGGTGATCGTTACCATGCTGGTCCTATGAAAATTCATTTAAAATTGTATAAACAAAATTATTGTTAAGTGAAATTATGTTTAAAAAAAAAGTCCCGCTGGGTTTCTTGCTGGTTCTTCCCAGGACAGAGGTATTTTCCGAACCAGTGGTAAATAAAATAATGACTTTCAATAAGTATTATGTAATAATCCATATTGAATAAAAATCATTCTATTCTATTCTATTCTAAAATAAATGGTTGATAATAACCCCTGGCAACAAGGTGGTCGCTTCCAAGCTGTTTTTAAAATAAATTTTGTAAATAGTTTGTTATCACTTATATTGTAAAATTTATTTTTAAAAAAAAGATCCCGATGGGTTTCTTGCTGGTTATTCCCAGGACAGAGGATTTTTGTCGAACCAGTGATAATGTAAAAAAAAATTACTTTAAATAAGAATTACTTGCAATCAATATTATATAAAAATTATTCTATTCTATTCTATT